AAGAAGTTTGTTTTGCTTGCAATTCTTCCCTCCTCAGCGTTATCTTCCCTCTTTCTACCCTTTTGTTTCTTTATTGAGTTTAATGTACATCTACAACAGTCTGTTAGCATGTATGTTCACTTCTTTGCTCATTTCCAATAAGAGTGAGATTCATCTGGTGCCCACTGTCCCACCACTTCCTCCATATTTAATATTCTCACACACACTAATTATGAAAAACAGTGAGTTCCTCCTCCCCTTCTTCCCTTCTACAATAGGGTATTCTTCTTTTAACCCCCTGTCCCCTTCTATCATCACTTCCTTCTGATTCTAAAAAATCTAGTCAGTTTTCATTTGATTTTTGAAAATACAGTGTATAGGATTTTAAAAATTTCTTTCAGGGAGTCCAATAATTCTTAAATTACATCTTCCTAAACTGTTTTTGAGGTCTGTTTATTTTTTATATCATATGCCTTACTTTTTTGGTCTTTTGATTCTGTTCTAGTATTTCTTCCTTTCTCTTGGAGTCATTGGTTTTTATTTAATTTACATTAGTTTTCAGGGATTCCATTGTGAGAGGAGTAAGGTACAATTCAATACAATAAATAAATATTAGGCTCCTACCATGCAGTCAGACACTGTGCCAAGCACTGGTTATACAAATAGGAAAAATATAGTCCCTGCCCTTAAGAAGCTTATATTGAAGGAAAATAACATGCAGAAAGAAGCTGAAAATGGAGAGGAGGGAAAACAAAGTACCCAACATGAAGGTGATGATGGTGTAGTTAAATTAAAGAGTGCAGACATGGGAAATGGAGAGCTGACTGACCTTCTAAGTCCAATTTAAGTGGAGGCTCTGGGAAGAGTTTTCTGCTCTGCCTTCTAGTCTGCCTGTTGAAGGGGTAGAGGCAGTTGAGTACACTGATGAGGTGTGAGTACCAAAGATGATAAATCTCCATGATGATCTTGTCCAGGGGCAGAGGTGGGGTAGGGGGCGTGGCACGACATGGAGAGACTTGATATTGGTGGAATCAAAGCAAAAGAGTGCAGCTAGTGGGAAAATGAGGTAAGGTTTACCATTTTCTCTTCTAAACTACTTATTCTTCTTTCAGTTCTTTCCTTGTCTTCATCTCACACTACTCTGAGATGCCTTCCATAGGATAGATGCCTATCCTCTTTCACCCTTGTCTTAGATGAGTTGGTGGTATTCCTTTCTCCTTCCCAAGGCAAACCCCTCTCTCTGCCTGCATAAGTGATTCCCGTTTCATCCCATGCCCTTTCTGTCATTTGTAATCTCTCATTAATCTTCAGTCTCTCCTTGTCTATTGGCTGCTTCCCCAGTGTCTGTAAATATGCCCATGGCTCCCCCATCCTCAAAAAACTCGCACTTGATCTATTCTCATTAGCTACTGTTATATGTCTCTCTTCCCTTTTGTTGCTAAACTCTTTGAGAAGGCCATCTACATTGGGTGGGTACTTTTATTTCATCCTCAACTTGTCACTTTCTCTTATCCCTTCATATCCAATCTGTTGGGAAGTACTGTTGATTATACCTTCACAGCATTTCTCATATATGCTTCCTTCTTTCTTCTGGCATTGCCCACCACCCTGGTGCAGACCTTCATCGTCTCACACGTGGACTATTACAGTAGCCCTTCTGGTTGGTCTCCCTGCCTCAACTCTCTCCCCATTCTAGTTCATCCTTTTAGCTGTTAAATTGATCTTCCTTAGGTGCAGGTGTAACTACATCACTCTCTATTCAATAAACTCCACTGGTTCCCTTTTACCCTAGAATCAAATGTAAAATCCTCTATTTTTGATGCCCTTCATATCCCTTTCTACCCTTTGAGTCTTATACTATGCTTTCCTCCACATAATCTATGATCTGGTGACACTGACTGCTGCTCTTTTTCCTTACAAAAAATACTCCATCTCCCAACTCCACATTTTAACTGGCTGACACTATGCCTGGTATTTTCTACATCTCTTGACTCCCTTCAATCTCACTTTCCGCAAGAGACCTTTCTCAGTCTTCCTTAATGCTAGTATCTTCCCTCTTAGATTATCTCCAATTTATTCTGTGTGTATATATATATATATATATATATATTTTTAACAAATTGAGTACCTTTTTACTTCCTTTTTTTTTGTTGTTGGTGAGGCAGTCGGGGTTAAGTGGCTTGCCCAAGGTCACACAGCTAGTACGTGTCAAGTGTTTGGTCTGAGGCCAGATTTATTCTGTATATATCTTGTTTGTATATAGTTGTTTTTATTTTATTTCTTCTGTTGTAAGTTATGTCAGTGGTTTAAGCCTTTATCTCTTGGTTTAGTTAAAACTATATGACAGTTTTATTGCCTTCTCAGGAAACTTAGGATATAATTGGTAAATTTTCAGTTGTGAAATGGATCCTACTCTCGTGGTTCCCATTCACATTAATAGAAGATTTTTTTTTTTTAGATATTTTTCTTAGTACACATGTGTAGAGTAACAAAAATAAAATGAAGTTCTGAAGGAGTCAAAACTTTAATCTTCTCTTCTAAGTTGGCCTTTCTTATATTACTGTGTTGAGGCTTCTTCTTATAAATAGTTACTAAACTGACTGCAGGGGGGGTCACAGTTGAAAATTAGATGGATGGTATGATTGGAAAGACACATCATAGAATCTGAGTTGGAGGAGTTCAGAGGTCATTCAGGCTAGTAAGTACCTAAAAAGGAATCTCATCTATCACATTCCAGACAAGTGGTCAAATAATCTTGGTTGCTTGAATATCTCCAGTGTTGCAGAACCCACTATCTTTTGTACATTCTGTTCCACTTTTGGATAGATAGAATTGTTCTTTCTTCTTTTACAACTTCCCTTCATTGTTCCTAGTTCTCTTTTAGGCCACATTGATCAAGTCTCTTCCACATGAAAACACTTCATACACTTGAAGATAGCTTTCCTATCCCCCTAAATTTTCTCTTATGCCCAAGCTAAATACCCCAAGTTCTTTATTCTTTTCATTTCCTCTTGTACTGACTTGTAGCTCATAGAACTGTCTGTGTTCATAGAGGTGACAGATCATTGAACCATAGTCCTCTACAGATATTCTAATCTACAAAAGGTTTTCTCCTTTTATGTAACTTTGAGTTTTAACACCATCATGGCAACAAGACCCTGATCTTCCTAATTTTAGTCTCTCTAGGAAATGCAGTTTGAGTTTAAATTTTGAACAGAAAAAAAGAAATTGCAACTTTAAATTTTAATGTTCCTTTTTATCTGCCTCTCTCCTTAATTCTGTCCAAATAATTGGGGAAGGGGCAGCTAGTGACATGCATTTATTCCTTTTTTCCCCAAAATTAAAAAAGTCATAAATCTAATTTCCATCAACAAAGACAAATAAACACATAAACAATAAGATTTTGCATAACACTATTAGTATTTAATAGGAAAACAAAATTAACAATGAACAAAAGTAATTTTCTCTTTGTCCCATTATAAGTCTGAAGTTGTACTATCTTTGGCTATGTTTTCTTCATCTATCAGTTTCAGTCACTGTGTGTACGTACGTACAGTGGTTCTTCAAGTCTTACCTTCTATCACTTTATATTATTTGTATGCATGCCCATTAGATCTCAGTTAAATAAAAGAAACTTTAAAAAAACAAAGCTGCCATACCAGCAGTGGATCATAAAACCTATGGAGCTTGTATAATAGTATCTCAGAGTTTATGTGTTGGAGAAGTTAATGTATCCTGCAAAATTTAATATTAGTCTGTGATGGGTAGAAAAATAAGACTGTCATGAACAATTACAATCTATATGTTTCATATTTACTATTAGAATTCTAAATCACCCTTCTGGATATTGATATTCTATTACATTGTGATATATTTTTAATTTCCTTGTGACACTTTTAGATAATGTTTCTAAATATTTTTTTTCTCTACAGTTGGGATTGAGATATCAGTTTTTATAGTTTTCATTTTTCTAGCTCACTTTTAACTTCAGAATGCTTCAACTTATAATTGTCTTATTTACAAAGCACATAATAATATTTCAACCAAATAAAATGCCAGCCTTTCATTAGCTTTTTTTTCTACTTCCCAGAATGTTCTCATTATGTTATTGATATTTCTTTTGATAAACTGCAACAGATCCTTAGCATTCATGAAAAAAATAGTTTAGTATGTGTTTAAATACAGAAATTCCATAAATATTATACCACTACTGATGATAAAAAGGGAGGAAAGATAAAGTGGAATGGAATATGTATTTCTTATTCCGTTTCCTCTTCTGCTGTCTTCTTCCTCGGTAAAAAAAAAAAGGAGGACGAGGGGCAGCTAGGTGGTGCAGTAGATAGAGCACCGACCCTGGAGTCAGGAGGACCTGACTTCAAATTTGGCCTCAGACACTTGACACTTACTAGCAGTGTGACCTTGGTCAAGTCATTTAACCACATTGCCTACAAAAAGGAATTTTAAAAAATTTTTTTAAAAAAAAGAGGACAAAGGTTGTTGATGTATTTAAGATCCTGAACTGAGTGGTTTACTGACTTCCAGGCTATTCCTTATATTTTAAATCAGATGTCAGTAATACCTTCATTGTATATAAACTTCTTCAGAAGGCCATATATTTCACCTGTCTGTTATTTACTGACGATAATAGATAGATGCCTTGAGATTTTATGTCAATCTGAAATGTCCAAGTTCCAGGAGTGAGTTGTAATTAGTTCACCATAATAACTGTGGCTATTTCCCTCCAACTAAAAATAATTAAGGTGAGAATAACAAAACAGAAGAGTGCAAGCATAATTCTCCTTGTCAGCTGTGATTAAATGTATAAACACTGAAAGTTCTAGTTAGAAAAGATCTATTGTCAAGTTGAAGGAAGTAACTAAAGACCTTTATTCCAAAGAGTATTGATATTAATTTTCCTATATACTTATAAAGCATATGTATGCAATGATGACTAGATTTTCCCAGCAATTGACTGTTATGCATGTACTGAATTTTTATTTCCTTTTTATGTCTCCTTGCAGCCTATGGAAAAGTATTCCTGGTTCGTAAAATAAGTGGTCATGATGCTGGAAAGCTGTATGCTATGAAAGTTCTGAAAAAAGCCACCATTGTTCAGAAAGCCAAGACAGCAGAGCACACAAAGACAGAGCGGCAGGTGCTGGAACACATCAGGCTCTCGCCCTTTCTGGTTACACTGCATTATGCTTTCCAGACAGAGACCAAGCTGCATCTCATTCTAGGTGAGTGTTAGCAGTTTCAACCTTTCTATGAAAACAACACTTTTTTTATTCTCAGAGAACACGTAAGTTTTTGGTGTCATTGTGTAAACTAACTTTACAATTTTGAATTAGAAGAAATATGTTGACCCTTCATCATTCCTGTCTTCTTGGTGGGTCTGTCTTGAACACTATAATTCTTTAGGACTTTGGATATGACATTCTAACCTGACAAAATGCATAACAAAATTCTGTAGTGATTTCTTGGTCTTAAGAAATAATAGAATATGTCTGAGGCATTTTAAAAGGTGACTTTTATAGGTAGCAGAGAGAAAAAAATTGGGGAAAGGAGTAAGAGTATTGATAAAATAACAATATGGTATAGTGGTTAGAGAGTTGGCCTTAAAGCCATGAATGTTTCTGATACGTACTATCTATGACTTGTACAGATAATTTAATTTTTCAGTGTTCTAGACAACTCTGTAAAGTTATAAATTGCAGAGGATTTACTGACTTGCATTGGTAGAAGCAGTTTCCTCACTTGGAAGTTCCTTATACTGATGAAATCACAGGTCCAGTCACTGGCCTACCCTTCCCTGTTCCTTGGTTTCCTTCTCTAGAACATAGCTTCTCACCCCTAGTCAAAAAGTGATTATTTAGATGGTTTGCTAGCCACCCACTATTTTATTTGGAGGAAGCATTATAGATCACCACTGAACTTGGAGTCCGAAGATCAGCTTACAAACTGCTTCTCACACTTATTTATTAGTTCTTGGTAGTCTTAGGCAAGCTGAACCTTGGTTTTTTAATTTATGAAATAGGGCAAATATTATTTATCCTTAAGTACTTCACAAGTTTTTATAATACCAAATGAGATATATATTTTATAAAATATAAAACCTTAAGCAAATGCTAGCTATTGTTATTGTAGTCATTATTGTGAATTATTAAAGTTATACCTTTGTCTGTGGCTATGGTCAGGACTGCCTTAGAATTTAGAATAGTAAAGCAGGCTTTAAGCTTTTATTTCTACCGTGCATACTTGTATCCTACCTAACTTAATTGGAGAATGTAGCAGAGGACATAAATGTGTATTGCTTTTTCAGTAGGTCTTACAGGTTTTACTTCTAAAATACAGTTTTGGATTCCCATCATCGTTGATGGTCACTGGAACAAGGAAATGAAAACAATTTGTTATCTAAGTTAAAATTTAGAAAAAAGATAGTTAAGGACATCAAACCACTGTTCCTTAATTATCATTTCTTATTACAGCTGATAATGTCATCCCAGAAAGTACTTTCATCATTTGCTTTTGGCACAAGATGTGTGTAAGTGTGGATTTAGTCTGCAGCTATTATTAAGGGGAGAATCCATAGCATCCAGTGTCAGTCAAGTGAATATAAACTTTGACCTCTACTCCTAGAGAACACTTAGCCTCCTTTCATTGCAAAGCTTTATACCATGGGTATCCCACCTCTCCGTTAATCCCTTTCTTCTTTCTTTATTCTTTCCTCCTAGCCTCCACCTTCCTTTTACAAAAACTCATAGACACATAAACAGTCTCATTCTTTTTGTAAGATATATATCTTCTAGAATTCCTTGATGGATTTTAGTAGATTATAGATAATAAGTACAGTGCAACTGTTACTTATTCTAAGAAATGAAATACTTTTATTTCTTTTTATAATTTATTTATTTTTAGTTTTCAGCATTCACTTCCATAAGATTTTGGGTTTTAAATTTTCTCTCTCTTCCTCTCCTGCCCCCTCCCCAAGGTGGCATGCAATCTAATATAGGCTGTATTTATACATTCAGATGAAGCATATTTTCACATTAGTCATGATGTAAAGAAGAATTAGAACTAATGTGAGGCACCATGAGAAAGAAGAAACAAAACAAAAGAACGAAAGAAAAGGAGAGCAAATAGTTTGTTTCCATTTGCATTCAGACTCCATAGTTCTTTCTCTGGATGTGGATAGCATTTTCCATCATAAGTCTTTTGGAGTTGTCTTAAATTCTTGCATTGCTGAGAAGAGATAAGTCTATCAAAATCTGTCATTGCACAGTGTGGCTGTTACTGTGTACAACAGTCTTCTGGTTCTGCTCATTTCACTCAGCATCAGTTCATATAAGTCTTTCAGATTTTTCTGAAGTCCACCTGCTCATCATTTCTTTTAGCACGATAGTATTCCATTACATTCATATACCACAACTTGTTCAGCAATTCCTCAATTGATGGGCATCCCCTTAATTTCCAATTCCTTGCCACTACAAAAAGAGCTGCCATAAATATTTTTGTACATGTGGGTCTTTTTCCCGTTTTTATGATCTCTTTGGGATATAGATCTAGAAGTGGTATTGCTGGATCAAAGGGTATGCACAGTTTTATAGCTCTTTGGGCATAGTTCCAAATTGCTCTCCAGAATGGTTGGATCAGTTTACAACTCCACCAACAATGCATTAGTGTTCCAGTTTTCCCACATCTTCTCCAACATTTATTATTTTCCTATTTTGTCATGTTAGCCAATCTGATAGGTATGATGTGGTACCTCAGAGTCGTTTTAATTTGCGTTTCTGTAATCAATAGTGATTTAGAGCATTTTTCATATGGCTATAGAAAATTGCCTGTTCATATCCTTTGACCATTTATCATTTGGGGAATGACTTGTATTCCTATAAATTCGCCTGACTGTAAAAATTGTTTCCCAGCTTTCTGCTTCCCTTCTAGTCTTGGTTGATTTGGCTTTGTTTGTGCAAAAACTTTTCAATTTAATAGAATCAAAGTCATCCATTTTGTATTTCATAATGTTCTCTATCTCTTGTTTGGTCATAAATGCTTCCCTTCTCCATAGATCTGAAAGGTAAACTATTCCTTGCTCTCCTGGTTTGCTTATAATATCAGTCTTTATATCTAAATCATGTGCCCATTTTGACTTTATCTTGGTGTAGGGTGTAAGATGTTGGTCTATGCCTAGTTTCTGCCATACTATTTTCTAGTTTTCCCAGCAGTTGTTGTTAAATAGTGAGTTCTTATCCCAGAAGCTGGAGTCTTTGGATTTATCAAATAGTAGATTACTATAGTCATTGATTATTGTGTCTTGCTTACCTAACCTTTTGCATTGATCCATCACTCTATTTCTTAGCCAGTACCAAGTAGTTTTAATGATAACTACTTTATAATACAATTTAAGATCTGGTACAGCTAGGCCATTTTCCCTTGCATTTCTTTTCATTAGTTCCCTTCATATTCTGGACCTTTTGTTTTACCAGATGAATCTTGTTATTATTTTTTCTAACTCTATAAAATAATTTTTTGGTAATTTGATATGGCACTGAAAAAGTAAATTAATTTCGGTAGAATTGTCATTTTTATCATATTAGTTCGGTCTACCCATGAGCAACTGATATTTTTCCAATTATTTAGATCTGACTTTATTTGTGTGAAAAGTGTTTTGTAATTGTGTTCATATAGTTCCTGATTTTGTTTTGGCAGGTAGACTCCCAAATATTTTATAATGTCTACAGTAACTTTAAATGGAATTTCTCTTTCTGTCTCTTGCTGTTGGGCTTTATTAGTAATATATGGAAATACCGATGATTTATGTGGCTTTATTTTATATCTTGCAACTTTGCTAAATTTGTTTATTTTTTCAAGTAATTTTTTACTTGATTCTCTAGTATTCTCTAAGTATACCATCGTTTCATCTGCAAAGAGTGATAGCTTTGTTTCTTCTTGGCCTATTCTAATACTTTCGTTTCTTTTTCTTCTCTTATTGCTAAAGCTAACATTTTTAGTACACTATTGAATAACAGTGATGATGATGGACATCCTTGTTTCATTGCCAATCTTACTGGAAACGCTTCTAGCTTATCCCCATTACATATAATGTTTGCTGATGGTTTTAGATAGATCCTACCTATCATTTTAAGGAAGACTCCATTTATTCCTATGCTCTCCAGTGTTTTTAATAGGAATGTGTGTTGTATTTTGTCAAAAGCTTTTTCTGCATCTGTTGAGATAATTACATGATTTCTGTTAGTTTTGTTATTGATATGGTCAATTATGCTGATAGTTTTCCTAATATTGAATCAGCCCTGTATTCCTGGTTTAAATCCTACTTGATCATAGTGTATTATCCTCAAGATAAGTTGCTGTAATCTCTTTGCTAATATTTTATTTAAAATTTTTGCATCTTTATTCATTAGGGAAATTGGTCTATGATTTTCTTTCTCTGTTTTGGCTCTTCCCAGTTTAAGTGTCAGTACCATATTTGTATCATAAAAAGAATTTGGTAAGACTGCTTCTTCACCTATTTTTCCAGGTAGTTTATATAGTATTAGAATTAGTTGTACTTTAAATGCTTGATAGAATTCACTTGTAAATATCTGGCTCTGGAGATTTTTTCCTAAGGAGTTCATTGATGGCTTGTTCAATTTCTTTTTCTGAAATGAGGTTATTTAATTATTCTATTTCCTCTTCTGTTAATCTGGGTAATTTATATTTTTGTAAATATTCATCCATTTCATGTCAAATTTATTGGCATACAGTTGGGCAAAATAGGTCCTAATTATTGTTTTGATTTCCTCTTCATTGGTAGTGAATTCACCTTTTTCAATTTAAATGCTGGTAATTTGATTTTCTTCTTTCTTTTTTTTAATAAAATTAACCAAAAGTTTATCTATTGGTTTTTTTTTCCATAAAACCAGCTCTTAGTTCTATTTATTAGTTCAATAGTTTTCTTAATTTCAATTTTATTAATCTCTCCTTTGGTTTTCAGAATTTCTAATTTGATGTTTAATTGGGGATTTTTAATTTGTTCTTTCTCTAGCTTTTTTAGTTGCATGCCCAATTCATTAATCTCTTCTCTCTTTATTTTATTCATGTAAGCATTTAGAGATATAAAGCTTCCCCTAAGAACTGCTTTCACTACATCCCATAAATTTTGGTATGTTGTCTCATTATTATCATTCTCTTGGATGAAGTTATTGTTTCTGTGATTTGTTATTTGATCCACTCATTCTTT